AGGTGGCGGTAAAAGGTGCCAATCAACGGCCAAATCAAATTACGTAAAAACCAGTTTACCGTTACGGCAAACACTTTTCTTCAGTTTCTCAAGTATTTTCAGGTTTTATTTCGTAGAAAAATATATTTCATTAAAACAAAAGACACAAAAGAGAATCGAAATAACCATTCAAATTTAGAGTTTGAGACTTTTTCTTTACACACTTTCTTTCTGCTCCATTCCTTCTCTTTATTCGCCACTCTTTCGCTCTCTCACGCTTGGTTAACGGTAATTTCATCTTCTCTTGTATATGTGGCTGGAAAAACGGCAAAAAAGGAAATTGAAGGTGAAGCCAAGCGAATGGAATTTAAATGTGAGAATTTTCCTCGTTTTTCGTCTGAACAAAAAAAGAAATATGAAAATTTCGCCAAAAGCCTCGACAGCACACAAACCCTTTCGGACCCCCATCCATTTCAAGCACCACTGTAGTTCTGTGTCCAGCTTTTAGTGGGTCAGGTTCTGCCCGCACCGCTCGCTACGAGCCTCAAACAGAACTCATTTCATTCGGTTTTTCCTTTATTTTCGGTTGTTCTTTTTTTAATGCTGCAGCAGCATTAAGTACACATATAATTTGGCAAAAACAAAAAAAATCGGGAGCGACAGGAGCCCTGCTTTGTTGGAGTACATAAAAGTAGGCGAATGAACTTTATCCGAAAAACGGAAGAGCGAGACGTACGAAAAAAGGGTCAAGCCAAGGGAACTCCCTTTTAAAATGTGTACATACAGTACAGGCTGAGACATAGATAATGTTGTGAGAAATTAAAACCCCAATCCTTCTTCTGCTTTTTATTGTCATACCAATCCCATATCAGTATATACTGCTTTGTCATGCTTGAATTTTATTAGCAGTATTATACTGCTTGCTAGTCTTTGTTTATTTAGTAGTTACTGCTTGATAATCTTATATTTCGCTTGGCTTCCTTTCATTAGAACCTTAGACTTTTTATATCAAATTTAAGCTTGTGTTTTTTTTGAGAAATGTTTCAAAAACTCTTCTACAACCATCTACACAATCAAGATTAGTCCAATAACATTAGCACTGACATCTATGTGTGTGCATAAAATTAAACTAAAATAAGCAGATAATCTAATTTTATGGTTTGTTGAGTTTATTCATCCAAAAGATGTGCATTAAAATTTAATTAGATTTTAAGCTAAAACAAAAACATTTTAAAACTCATTAAAATGCTGTGGAACACAATTTTGCAGATTCAACTAAATGGCAACACATCTACACGTAAGGATGCATGTTTACATAGTAGGTATTTTAGTAGGTCTGTATGTATAACGGGACAATGTCCAGTTATGATGGCGCCCTTGGGTTCCCAAAGCCCATGGCCCATCGTCTATTGTCCATCACACACCTCCGACGCTCCGCCGTCACATCTGTCGTTCCATGAAATTTGCTTTCAATTAACAAATTGTTTCGAAACGAAGAGGGAAAATCGATAAGTAACGACGACTGGCTTTTCATGTACCTTCTCTAACCCAACCTATCCTGTAATGCCTTTCTAATTTTGTGGTTTAGCCGTACGAGAACCCAAACCACAGCACGACCACGCCCAGAATTTAAAGGAGTGCAAGAAGAAAATCCAAAAGTCAAAGGAATTTTATGGTATAATGTTGCATGAAAAATGCAGGAAACGGGATGCAGGATGCATGCCTCCTCCTCTGCCGCTTCTACTTCCATTTCCTTTATGCATGAAAAATTCCTGACTTGGTCAAAGAAAGGAGAGAAAACTTTCCCCTTCCCCAAAGCACCAGCAGCGGCGGCAAACGGATGGCCAAGTTTTCCAGAGATAGAGAGACAGAATTGTAAGTGAATCTTGGGATGACAAGAACTTTCTCACGAAACTTTTGTGTTGAACTGAAATTGAGAGATGACTTCATGTCAAGGAAACACTCCTACAATACAGATGTTCCATCTACAAATATATATGCATGTTGAACCCGCCTCAAAAGTGCTACATCAATAAATCAAGTTCTTAGGCAGACAGACAGACTGATAGTGTCAACCTACTCCTACAATAAAAATCTGGCAACAAATTTGTGAGTCACCAAACAAACAAAAATTAAATAAAAGAAGCAGATAACTTGGCAGAAACGGCGAGAGGAATCCCCTGTAATCAGGCAACACGGAATCATGGCGGAAAAATAAGTTTCTTGCTTCTTGGATTTGGCAACAAATCAAAACAAGAAGAGAGAGAAATGGATACAAAGTGTAATGCATAAATATAAAGAAAATACAGATAAATACGACACATAAATTGATTTGATGACTCTGCAGTATATTGACTTCAGGGCGGAATGGCACTGCAGTCAAAGTTTGATGGAATAAGAGCAAGTAGTGGATTACTTTCAAACAACTCTAATGAGAAATGATAAAGCAGTGCGTAAAAACTGTAGTGCAAGAAGTGCAAACATTCTGTCTGGCAATGTCTAATAAAGCAGTGAACCAAACAGACTGACAACGGAGAGCACAAAACAAAGAGAGAAAAAAGTGATCAAATTGATTCAAGGGTCGCTGATACCGCTGCGAACATTACATGCATGTAGACTACTGCTTCCCAAAGTCCAAACTACCTTTGCACACCTTCCATACCCCGCACACTCAATGCTGCTGCGGGCATTTCAGCCATATGGGGGGTGAGCGGGGGGTAGCCTGGGAAAAAACACAACAAAAGCAAACACAATGCCATGTGATAGACAACAACCCGCACATAAGGGCAAAGACATTGAAAAAATACATGTTACACGACGAGTACGTAACAAGCTGCAGTCAGGCCGGCAGGCAGACAGATGTCATTCAAGAGACAGAGAGAGAGAGAGAGAGCGAGAGAACGGAACCTGAAACTTTTAATTGCATTTCTATGGGCAAATTCTCTTTGCTAGCCTTACTCTCTCTGTTTCTCACTCTCTTTTGCCTTGAATCTCCTTCCATTGCTCAAATGGCAGGCAGGGGCCCGAACTGGCCATCGTTTGTGTTATCATTTACAGGTGATATATGAATGATATCTCTTATCTATAATGATAATGCTGATGATTCATTCATATGTCGACTTTTTCACAACTGATTTGTATTCCCTTTGGTGGTTTGGTTACTCCCCGCATGAAATGCAACCACAATTTATTATCATTTAATATCCAATTGAAGCCGAATGCAAATACATTTTTCCATCAACCCCGACAAGAACCCCCATACGCGCGTGGGAGGGTGTCTGATACAATGTCCGACCGATGACTCAATTCTAGAGTTCCATTCCGTAGCCGGGAATCCATTGGCATGTTCAAGTCACATTAGAGGGAGCGTTGCCGTCGCTGACAGGAAGTGTGTCTGTGAGTGAGTGGGGCAATGATGCATGTTAAATGAACCCAAAAACTATCATAGATAATGTTCGGAAATGCTTAGAAATTAAACACGCAAGAGGCACTCTGGAGCGGCGCTGTTTTCGAAGAGGTCAATGATGGCAAAAACATGCCATACATAAATATATACTCTAAAAATATGAAATGTTCCATTATGGATTTACAATCAATATATTCAATGACTCTTATATTAAATGATTAGCTCTAAACCGTTTTAAAAGCACCCAAAATCTATAAATAAAACTTAAACACACTCGGATCTCTGATCTCAAGTGTTTGCGTTTGCGAATCTCTCTTGTCATGAGATCATCGGCACAAAAAGAGGCTTTAAATGTACTTTTTTATTTTTCTAGAAATATTGTATGAAAAAAGTCACAGTCGTTCGAATGATGCATCCAACTGGGGAATTCATCTGATGAGCTGTATATGTACAATCACCCAATATAAATCCCATTAAAAGCGCACTAATAATGCAATTGAGATTGATATGAGGGAGAAAATGTGACATACTGAGAACATTTTCTAAAGAGTAATTTCTAATTATTGAAACTATAAATATTCATTATCATTTGGCCTGAAATAAGCGGCATTTAAACGCATTCTTTTTTTATTGCAGAATTTATTCGGCTCTATTTAAGTATTTTCCCGGAACTCTAAAGAAGGTCTATTTTTATATTGTGACAAAATGTCAAGGGTAAAACAGCACACGGGAGAAATTGAGTTAAAAGAGTTATTCACTGTATCATGATTCGTTAACTTTTATTACCATCAGCGTTGACCTTTCCATTGCAAATATAATATGGATATCTAAATATAGGATATCCCTCAGTCGAAATATACACTTTCAATCCCCAAATGTCAGACAGAACAAAGGGCGAGCATTCATTCATTCGATGAGACGAATGCAGGCCCCAAAGGTTACATCAAACACGACCTTCGACAATTACTCAATGCTGAATTTCCTCTGGGAATAAATTAAGCGTAGAGAGCATACACAGACGAGAGTAATTTTGCAAAAATTGCCATATAAAAATATATATGTTAAATATTGGAATAATTAATGCGGACTCGGTCTACTCACCTCAACTCTGGGAAATGAAGCAATGCAGCTGTTTGTTTTTTTTTTTGTTTTTTAACTGGAAGGCTAGGATCAAGAACTCGTGACTGGAAACTGGAAGCTGGGTGGTCGATGGCTGCTGGGATGTTGAAAACACTGGCGGTGGCGGCTCTGCGAGGCTTTTTGACGGGCGGAGTCGCGTTTATCAGGGGCTTTTTCTTTTGTTGATTGCATTTAGAATGGCAGTTTGATTGATTGACATAATACGATTAATAAATTTATTGTTTCTTTGCTTTTGTTTCCACTGTAACGCGATTTGGTGTTTAATTTTTTTGATTTAAGTGCTGTTTGTTTGCTGTTGTTGTTTGTTGCAGGTGCTGTTGTTGCTGTTACATTCTCTATGTTTCGTTTGGCAAAAGTTGAAAGCGTAACAAAAAGTAAACGTGCAAGCATTATGACCATTTTCCACATTTTCCTGTGACTTTTCTTTTGGTGGGGGTCTTTTTCTATCTGGTGAATTTGTCGGTTAATTACTTTCCTCTGGTGCATTGAATTTATATTTCCTACTTAAAGCGAAAACATTTCTCTTTTTTCGTGTGTTAACCTAAATCATTCATCACATAACTCACATTACAAATGGCAATTAAATATATGCGTATAATAGTAGTAGTTTGGTTTTTTTGTTGTTGTTTGCATTGGTTTCTACAGTTATAGAATACATGGATATAGTATGCAGGATTATGCATGCCGCTCTATTTGCTTGCTTGGATACTGTTTGTGAATTCATGATTGTTTTTGTTTTGTTGTTGGTGTTTTTTTAAATCATTTTTTGAAGAATGCCGCATGCCGCAGACGAAAAGAGTAGTGTTGGATGAGGTAAAAGCATTCCAATTGTTAGTTGTTGATGTTACGGAGGTGGTTTTGGTTGGGAGGGAAGGAAGGAAAGAGATAAAAAGTAAAATTGTGTTAATACAAACAAAAGAAAGCAGATAAATGTATTGTGTGTGTTCGAAAGAGTGTTTGAGTGGGTGTTAATGCAATGAATCAAATGAAATCATATTTTAAAATGTGTCAAAGTTTTCTACTAAATTGGTTTATATTTTCAAGAAAATGCAGTTTCAAAATTTCAAAGTGTTCAAACAGGTTTATCAGGAAAATAAATACAAAACGGAAACGTTGTTAAATGCAGGAAAATAACTCGTTTAAAGGGAAGTGAAAAAAAAAAACTTGTTCAATTGTTTGAGCTATAAAAAATCAAGCTGAAAGATCAACTATAGATTTAAGAGTGTTTACTGTTTAATTTGAGTCTATGTGTTAACAGAGAGAGCGAGAGAGAGAGAGAGAGGGAGAGAGAGAGCTTTACGTGAGAGTTTTGTTAATTTTAGCAAGGCATTCCATATATGTTTGCAGATCTGATCTCTTAAGTTTCTCTCATTTTTTTAAGAGAGTTTTAATTGTTTTTTTTTTCATATTTTCTTGAGAGTTTTCGGGGCGGGCTATTTATCTTTTAAGTATAGCATATTTGCATGTACGTATATATTCATATATACTTAATATTTTCATTCAATAAATATATGAACAAGGTGTTAAGTAAATAGCAGTATAGTAATCGTAAATAGTCAATATAGTTATTATCTCATCGCATAATAAACAATTTTTGCTCTGTGTGTGTGGGTGTGTGTTTAGAATAAATATTCAAGAAGTTAACTAGAGATTTTGTTGTTGTTGTTTTTGTTGCAAGTGAATCAATGGCTGGTGTGGTGTGTGTCGAGTGCATGAATGGGTGTGACTTTGAGTGAATGTTTCTACTTTTGTGAAACTAAAAACAAAAACTAAATGCATTTAAAGTTCATGGAAGAAGAAATGAACAAAAAAAAAACAAAGAAATCAAACCGAGATTCGTTAATCTTTCATGTTTTGTTTTTGCTTCGCATTCTAACAATAATCAATTAAATTTCATGTTATTGTTATTTTCGTTTTTTAGCAATTACTTTTTAAGATTTGTATCTTTATAATCGTTTATATACTATAGATATTGAGTGTTGGCTATATCTTTTTTCTTTTGAGTGTATTCGTGTGTGTTTGTGTGTTTCTGTGGCTCTTGAGACTCTCTTTTTTCGTTTTTTATTTGCTTAGAATTTGAATGAAAGTCGTAACTAATTATACAGATTTGCACATGTAATATGTATTTATTGTATTAGCTATATAATTTGTATAATTCGAGTCCTAAATTGGGTTCTCTTTTGCTATTTTCTCACTGGTTTACATTTTATATATTTCTTTCGTTTACCTTCGTCATTTTTCTGGGTGGGACATCGATCGAATCAAAATGAATAAGTGTACCTATGTATGAATGAATGAATGAATGCATTTTGGGTATGTGTGTGTGTGTGTGTGTTTTTGTTGTTGTTTTTGTTCGTTAAGTAATTGCATATTTTTAAAGAATTAGAAAAAAACATTTACATGAAATAACTGCTAACATATGAGGCCGCTAAGATGCCCAATACAGTGAGGCATATCAGTATCATGATCTTCTTTCGTCGCGCTTTACTTTGGTATTTGAGCGCCTTCTTGGTATCCTGAGTTGCCGTCTGCACATAGTCCATAGCATGCTCCACATGGTACTCAATGCGATCTATCATCTCGCCCTGCGACTCCACCAGCATGGCCATATCCATGAACATGTCGTGCAGCTCCTTGATGGATGTCTCCAGCTTCATGATGTCCTGATGCCGTGCCTCGATATCCGCCAGCGTCTGTTTCGCCTGCTGCGTCTCCATAATGATGCCCTGGGTGAACACCGATGAGTTGCCCTCCTCCAGCATCTTCTCCAGCTCATCGTCGTTGGTGGGACGACCGGTGATCTCCAGCTGACGCTGTATTCTCCCCTTGCAACGCTCCCGATAGTCGGTCTGGGTGCGATTGTATTCCGTCATGACCTCCACAAATTTACGTGAGAGCGTCGAATGTTGGGTCTTGCGAATACGCAAATCTGCCGTTGATTTATTCTGTTGCTCCTCCTGTTCGATATTCTGTTCGATGCCCTTGAGTTTGCCTCTGACGCGATTTGCATTCTTCTTGATGTCGGCCATCAGGTCCTCGAGCTCCTGTTTGGTCTTCTCGTCGGTTTGTGGGGCCGACAGAATGGCCGAATGCTTCTTCTTCACCTCCTCTACATTGTCCTGCACCTTGTCGATCATGCCACGTATCTCCTCCACTTGTGAGAAGAAATCATCCATGTAGGAGTCATGTCCATCCACATTGACTGCCACATCTTCCGATTCCTCATCGTCCGATTGGGCGGCATGGAGGGCTGCTAATCTATCTTTTGTCATTTTGCTTTTGCTTTTCCGTTTACGCTGTTTATCTTCTTCCTCTTCTTCTTTCTTGTTTCACTTTGCTGCTTATTTTGTTGTTGATATTGTTGTTTTTTGTTGCGTTTCTTCGTTGTTTTGTGTGTCAAAAAAACTGTTGCAGTTGGTGCTTAATTTTTTTTGTTTTTTTTTAGAGCTTTACGTAAGCTTTTCGTTACGCGGCGTCAACGACTACGATTAGCAGTTAGACGTTAACGCACACACACAGGCACATGCACACATGAACACAAGCTCACCCGCTGTCACACACATACGCGCAAACATACACACGCGCGCGGAGTTTTACTTTTTGCTTCTCTTTATATATATTTTTTGCAGCGTTTTTTTTTCTTTCTGTGTGGCTCAACTTGTTTGCACGTTTTTCCACTGCCTACGACGGAAGGGAGGGGTAGACCTTTTATTGATTTTCCGTTGATTTTCGTGGCCGCAACAACCGATTTTCTTTTGCCACAATCTATCTCTTGCGTTTGCTTTTGGTTTTGTATATACTCTTGTTGGTTATATACTTCACTGGCACTTTTTTGCTGGTTTTATTATTTAATATTATTATTTCTTGGCTGTTTATCTTCTTCTCCCTCTCTCACGTTTGCTTTCGCGCTCGCTCGCAAGCACCTCTTCAATGCCAGGCAGCAGCTAAAAAGCTATTCACAGTAGCAACAACAAATGCTGCTTAATTATTGTGACTCACGACGGCACGGCACACAGGGAGCAGATATCGCGTTTATTTTGTTGCTATTTTCCGTTTAAGAATCACAGAAGATTAAGTACTCTTTTTTTGTTTGTTTCGCTTCACGCACACGAACACGCACGCGACTTACGGGTGTTTTGCAGTGGTAAGGGGTGGGGCGCTGTTGATCGTGTCGTCACTCTTGCAAGGACTCCTCCTTCTCTTGTTTTTATTTTATTCACGAAATGCAGCAGTAGCGGCTGTGCAGCATTTGCATGTGGAACACGTTTGTGTGAGTGTCTCGGACTGCAGTATATTTCGGGTGTCCAAAAAAATACCGACAACGCGACGCGTGCTGCCTTGGGTGGACAGACAGGACAGGGAGAGGCTCGACTCCAGCTCCGGCTTCCAAACACAAAAAATCTCTTAAAATGGGCAAAAAAATCGATTTCTGCGCAAAGCTCCAATTCTCTATCTTCTTCCTCCTCTTCTTGTTCTTGTTCTTCCAACAAGCACGCTGCGAGAGGTGAAGGGCGGGCGGCGATACGGTGGGCGTTATTTGTTCTTTCTCTTTTGCTTAGCTTGTTTTATTTTCGTTTGTTGCGAACGAATTCTCGTCGCCGCAGTCGGTCGGTCGGTCGGTTGGGTGGGCGACGGCGGCAGCGTATGATATGAGACGACCTCCTCTCGCTCTCTCTCTCCCTCTCTTGATGATGTCTTGGGTTACTTTTTGCTGTTGTATGGGTTGTTGTCGCCTCTATTGTTTTACCCGCACATCGCTAAAAAGCACACTCGACGCGTTTGCTGGCTCTCGGCAATCTGAAACATGCGTCGCCATCCGGCGCAGCCAAGACCGTCCCCAACAGCCCCAACAGTGCTCTTTCTCTTGTTTTGTATCGGTGTGTATGTGGATGGTGTTAAGAGTGCGCCGAATCTAATACGGGTTTGCTCTTTGTTGCTTTTCCTCTCTTGCTGGTGGCGGCGGCGGTGGATCCCACGGACTTCTGGGTGCTCTGGTCCTGCTATGTTTTACAACTGCCTTGTGTGCTTGTATTTCGCCTCTGCGTATATCGGTATTTTATTGGTTCACGCCGGCAAATTCGAAATGACTTTATTGCACTTTCGCACCGTTATGCTTTCGTAGTTTTAGACGCATTCACTTTTTTGGGTTAATTGTTTGTTACCGTAACATTTAATTGCATGCGCGCTGGCAAAATTGTTAATATTTTCAAGTGTTTTTGTTTTCTCTTTTGCTCGGCATTTTCTTGTTTTCACTTTTACTGCAGCTTACTAAGAAAATACCGAATAGCGCCTAACAAAATGCACTAAAAATGACCACAGTGTGGCTGTAGCACGTCAGCAACACCACAACAACAATTCGCAGCAGCACTGGTTTGTTTGTGGAATCCATTCGCGACCGCGACCGGACAGGAGAATCGGCATGCGCAGGGATTTTTATGAATGAATCGCACTTTTGTTTAAACGAATTTCAAGCTGAAAAGGAACTCGCTAATTGGGAGTAATATTGGGACAAAAGTGTAAAGAAAAATAAAGATTTTTAGCGGGCAGGGATGCCCGCTCGATCAGTGGTATGTTATACAGCACTGATGATAATAGGGCGCCCACCAGGCATAAATTCAAAATTTTGCGAATCTTGCTCGCTTGCACGGTTTCCAGGTCGCAAATAAGTAAAATCAAATAGAAATGAAATGCAATTGCCGCTCACTTACCGGATACTTTGTCTGCAGGACTATGCCGCATATCTCGTCACCCACCAGAAATTGCTCACCCAGCATCGCCATGCAGACATTCTCCCAGGCACGTTCGATTTTGTTTTTACGCAATCTTATCACCCATTGGCCGCCTTTACTATTCGCCGGATCCTCCCACATCGGTTTGATGCCCTGTTTGAATAGGGACAGTTCCCGGTACGGCTTCAGGGACGTCGGCCTGATCAGATGCGAGTAGAGGGACCACCACTGCTGGACACTCGCACATCGTCCGACCACGTGCAGCGATTTGCTATAGTCCGTCGCTGCCCGCTGCGTCCCCTTCCGCGAGAACCAAAGGCAGTATGTGTGCTGCAGGCGATTCTCGTTGGGCCCCACCTCCAGCGGCGGTAATTTGTCCACATCTATTTCATTCTCCACATCGCTGTCATCACTGTCCACGATGTCCGGCCAGACTTTCCTGCAATGCAAAGGAATTAATAATATTTTATAATAGTTTTGATTCAAGTGTCAGGCGTCAGTCAGGCAATCAGTCCAGTCAGTTTTTTCCCATCGGAACAATTCCAAAATCGTCACAACAAATTCATTTAAAACATTTTTCTTGAGGCTAAAATGAAGTTATCAATTCGCACACTCGACCAGCGCGTCCTCAGCCTTGAGATGGATGAGCGGCAGAATGTGCTGGCGCTGAAGGAGAGGCTGGTCAGCATGCCGGAGGTCTCGCAGTCCGTGGAGAATATACAATTGATTTACTCGGGCCGCATCATGGAGGATGGCTTGCCCCTCAGCGAGTACAAGATTGACGAGAACAAGTTTCTGGTGCTGATGGGTAAGCAGGGGGTACAACAGGTACCGCCACAGGCACCACAAGAGAAGAAGTCGCAGAAGCCAGAACAGACGGGAACGGTGCCTAGAATGGCTCCTGCTGGAGTTGCTGCCGCTACAGCTGCTGGCAGTTCTGGGAATCCACCGCCCTCGCTGTCACCAAACGATGAGACGATCCAGCATCTGATGAGCATGGGCTACGAGGAGAAGTCAGTGCGTGCCGCTCTTCGTGCCAGCTTCAATCATCCGGAGCGTGCCATCGAGTATCTGATCTCGGGCATGCCAACACAGACCACACCGTCACAGGGCGGCAGCGGTGCATCATCAGCGTCGGTCAGCGTTAGTCCGTCGGTGGCCGAAGCGGCCCTTAGTCTGGCACCACTGATGTCCGATCCGCGCTTCGCGCAGGTGCGCGAAATGATACGTCAGAATCCCGAAATGCTGGAGGCGGTTCTCGCTCAGATCCGCACCTTAAATCCGGATGTCTTCGAGGCCATACGCAACAACCAGGAGGAATTCATCGAGATGATGAACCGTGAAGAGATTGAAGACCTAAACGACGCTGCAGAGTTCCCACATCTGGCGGAGGGCGGGCAGCAAGCATCTCTAACAGCCGAAGAGACAGCTGCCGTGGAGCGTTTGATGGCATTGGGCTTCCAGCGAGAACTGGCCGTGCAGGTCTACCTGGCCTGCAACAAGAACGAAGAGCTGGCCGCCGATGTGCTCTTCCGCCAGTCCGAGGAGGATCAGTGATCCTCCGCTCAGACCATTGACCAATAAACAGACCTGGGGGCTGTAGTGGTGCATAAGAACATAACCTAACAAACGCATCGGCCAATGGGCCAAACTGGCAGAGAGAGAGGGAGATGTGCGTGTGTGCTGTTGGCCTAATTTAGTGGGAGATGCCACTTACGATTCGTATTGTTTGGTTGCAACCTTTTCCATGCTCATCTTTGATGCTTTGCTGGGCTCTGCGGATACTGGCACTTGTCTACTGCTGCGTAGTGTTTGGTCCTCCTCCTGGCTCTGGTATCTGTGGATCTTCCGACTGCTGGCTGCCGGAGCGGTGGCTGTTGCTTGGATTTCGATAATGATGATGCTGCTGCCGCTGCTGCTGCTTCTACTTCTATTTTGTGTTTGGCCCTCTGCCTCCTCTGATGGCTGCGATGACTGTGTTTTGGCCTTTTGTTGTACTTGACGGATTCTTCTTTCAATATTTTAGCTCCTTTGCTGCTGAAATAGTTTTGCGAGCAGTGTTTGTTTGTTTGTGTGTGTGCCGTGTGTGTGCGTATGAGATGGATGATTCTACCTTCCACACACCACAAAAATACGTCTATGGTTTGTCGCCTGGGTGCCTGGGTGGGGGGCCGCCGCTTTGAGTGGGGAAAGGCGCTGCTATCTGGTCACTATTCCGTTGTAAACAATTGCAAATGTGTTTGGCGGCCAATCGTGACTTTCATGGATATTCCTTATTTTTTATTTGATTCGTTTTGCTTTATAGCGCTGCAGTTTTGACGTTTCTTTTTGTACACAACATGCGTCCAATTGGGTTCCACTTGCGGTCCACCTTCCACGCGGCGCTGTCAAAATTTTGTGCTAGTCAGTGTTGTCAACTCTTCGCCCGTAAAAGAGCTAACAAGCCTTTGAAAAAAAGCTAGAAACTACCCGTAAATGTTAATGTCGGCTCAAAAGATTGAGTTTTGAAACGGCAATTTTTATTGATTTAATGTGTATTTAATATAACTTATCAATTTCGTCCAACATATTTTCTTATGCTGTGGGTCCAATTGGTCCCTAATTCATGACAGCATATATATATATATATGTCTCTATATATATATATTCATATATCATCCCCACGTAGCCCATTTCAACAAATATAAAACAGAGACAGGTGGTTATACGGAAATGCATCTCAGGCATTTGCACATTGCACTCGCGCTCGGTTCATGAAATATAAAACTCGTTTTATCCCGCATATGTGGATTGACAAGAGCTAGACCTAGCGGGAAAAAATTAAAAATATGAACCTAGCGGTTCATGGTTTTGTTAGTGCACGTGATCATTGGCAGGGTATCGATACACCTACGTATGATTTCGGTATACTTTTTTTATACTTATAATTATATACTTTTCGGGATATTTCGGGAAAATTATATAGGATATACGGTATATTTATGCTATAATTTAAAAGTTAAAATTAATATTTAGGTATATTTCTGAGGGTCAGGCTGTATATTTGATCGACAAATCCGCGGTTACACTGGGAATTTGCTTTTGTTTACGTTTTAAAATGGGGAAAAGCGAGAAAAAGTCAAAGAAAAAGCACAAGGAGAAGCGCAAGCAGCACAAGGAGAAGCACAAGTCCAAGAAATCTAAAAAGCACACCAAGCAAAGAGACGCAACTCCTCCCCTACCGATCCAAGCGGCGCCGCAAGAGCAGCCTGCGCCGCCGGACATGAGCAGCGATGAAGATTTTGCCATACCAATAGGTCCGTATTCTCCATTGTAACTCCGTGATTGTTGTATATTATGTGTGTGTCTTGTTTGAATACCCCCACCAAAAACATTTAAGCACTGATGAATAGCAAATCCCATGCGCCCGAGACACCGGAGGAGTATCAGCGCCGCCAGAGCCAGATACGTCGCGAGGTGGATCCCGTGACCGGACGCATACGCCTCATCAAGGGCGACAGCGAGGTGCTGGAGGAAATCGTGAGTAGAGAGCGCCACACGGACATCAACAAGAAGGCCACACGTGGCGATGGCGAGTACTACGAGTCCCGATCTCTCGACGCGGCACGCCGCAAAAAATGAAACCAAAGTAAAACACGCAGAAAAAACAAAACACTTAAATTATTAGTATTAATTAATAACTGTCCGTTTAATAAACAAATGCTAGCTCGGAGACTATGTATATACACGTGAAATATGCAGAATCATTTCTTTGGGGGGTTGGCCCTGCACAGAGGGAGGGAGGCCTAGTACAGCTGATGGAAGAATGTGGTGCTGCCGTCCTGCCAGGCGGGATCGTCGCTAACCTTGGCCCGGCACATGGGGCACGTTTGCTCGCGCTTGAACCACGTCTGAACGCACTCATCACAGAAAATATGTCCACACTCGAGGATAATGGGCGTATTGAAAGTATCATGGCAAATGGGACACACTGAGCCCGCGGCATCCAGTTCCTCTTTGGTCGGCGGACGCTCAGAATCCTACAAACAAAACAATGATTAGATATGGGGAAAACTCTTATCGGCCATGGCATAATGGCCTAACTCACAATATTCCGCCTGAAGGTTACCACCGCTTTGTGCAGCGACTTGGCACGCTCCACCAGCTCAAAGATCTTTGCGCCCAGGTACAAGGCAGAGAAGAGGCCGCCCGAGACCACCTCCAGGCCCGAATAGGACTCGTAGAGGAACAAGAACCACTGCGTGATGGGCGTCAGGGCCCGATAGAACTGCGATATGTATTCCACCAGGACATAGAGACGAGCCTGCAACAGGAAGCAAAATAGAGAAAAGGGAAATCAACGGGCATGGGCCCGCGCTTACCCTCACTTTGAAGCGCATCACATGATTGGGCAGCATGGTAATGGCCAGCTTGATGAGCATCGTGAGCAGCTTGATGATGAGATCACTGACTGCTATGTAGTACAGCAGCATGCCCAGTGGTATGACCTTTGCGGCATCATACGTGTCCGTGGTGATCACCGCCTTCAGCGTGTCCGAGGATGAGGTCGTTGAACCAATTTTACTGCTCGTTTGCTCCGTTTTGTAGGGCAGAGCAGAGGTCTCAACGGTGAAATATTTCCTTGGCGGTGGCACAATCAGACCAAACGGATCCGGCGGTGCTGTGGCCAGAAACAGACGCACCGTGACCACAATCCCAATGAGGCAGCTATCGCGCAGCATCGAGGCGTAGTTCTTTTGCGCCAGGCGGGAGACCTGATTCCGCACCGATCGATTGACATTGTACATGACGGTCTGCAGCACCAGCAGGTCGACAATGCCCAGCAGGTGATCGTGGATAAACTTGATGAGGAGTATAAAGATGAGGGGCATGTAGCGCACGAAGTGGCTGAGTATCTGAACGACCATGTCGTCCGATATGAGCTGCTCATCCTCGCCCTGGTGCTCGGGCGGCTCTGGCTGGCCATTGGCGATGACATTGCCGCCTGCAGCCGCATCGCCAGCTCCAGGCAATGCTGCGCCGGTCAGATTGCCATCGCCCAGATCCAGATTCGCATTGTGCTCATCCTCGCTCTCCTCGTAGGCTGACGGATTGCTGTGTAGCTCCATGACGCTGGCATTGTGCCGCACACCAGCCAGACTGTGTCGCATTTCACCCTCGCGCAACGAAATGCTGCGCCCCATCATCGCACTGGCACTAGCACCGGCACCTACACCGCTTGTGGCATTCAGTCCGTGAGATACGCGGCCGATCCTTAGAGGTGAAGTGCCCACAGCTTCGGAATTTGGCTGCAGAAGTATGTGCGAATTATCCACGGGCGACGACGCTGGTAGCTGATTTCCGGTTGCTGCTGCTGCTGCCGATCCCGCTGGCTGGTAGCGAAAGTTGGAATGTGTGATAAAGGAGCGCAGCGCCTCAGTCGATGGGGCCGTGGACAGGGAGAAGACATCGTTAAGATTGACACGCCAGAAACCAAGTTGTCGCACGGGCGTAGGTCCTGGCGGTGGTCCGACGCCAGGGCTGGGCAGTGGCTCCTCCAGGCTGCTGTTGGCACCCATGCTGCGTGACTGCTGCAGGCGACGGTTCATTTGTGTGGCCACACGGACGGGTGAACTGGCTGCCGGTGTGTAGGAGCGCTGGCGGGCCAGGAATGAGGAAAGAATGTTGCCGTGTCGCGGGCCACCGCTGAGGCTGCTGCTGCGACCCGTTGGCACACTGCGGCCCCCAATTGTGTCCAGATTGATGCTGGTGTTGTGGGTAACAGAGCCCATACCACCCGTCCCACTGCCGCCCGTCGCCGTGTAGGTCATCGGTGGTGCTGCTGCTGGCAGCAGATACTCGTGCTCCGCTGTCGTTGAGTCATTGTCGTCGCTTTCAATGTGTATGGACACGTTGGACAGATTGTTGTCCGTCTGGGAAGGACGATAACCAGCTCCACCGCCTCCTGACGGGTCCTTGGGGCCGTTTTTCATTGTTTTACGTGTAGATTTTTATTGTTGTTCAGAGTGACCACGGATTAATCGATTAAATATACCGCCTGACCTTTACAAATATACCGAAATATGGTTATAATTTTCAAAATATACCATAAATACACTGAGGAAAAAGCGAGCTTAGCGCACTTAACCCCGCTATATTTAAACAATTTGATAATTTGATATATACTTTGAAGAATACTGTAGTCCCTTTACTCCATTACTTGAAAGCTAATGCTCTTAGCCGTGAAACTATAATTTTATCCGATTGATACTGGTCACACTTAGCGATGACACTTCAGTGGGTGGCAATTTTCGAGAATTATCTAGAATATTCATCAGGATCCTGATAACATAAATTATAGCGGTTACATTTTAAATATAATTACAAAAAAAGAACGTAAAATTAGCATTTGATCAATAAACCCTGCTGGAAATGTAAATTTCCCGCTTGAGTAAGCAAAAGCGTGCATAATTATTATGCAAATTTACGGTAATTTTACCCACTCTTCCCCCTTTTGATTGGGATGCAAATGACTCTGTTACCAACTTAACCACAACCAAAACTGACCTAAAGCCGTTGCCAGGCAACCGAAAACAAGAAGGCCAAAACATCAACAAAAACGTGGCCAAAACCCACCACCAACACCAAGGACATCCCCATCCAGCCATACATAATCCTTGGGAAGCGGTCAGTTCTGTGCAATATTCAGTGAAACAAAGAAGTAAAGTGCGTGTGCGGCGTGGCGTTGAGGGGCAAAGCAAAGCAAAGAAAAATGCTGCACTAGCAAATCAGAAAGCAAATTAATAAATAAGTCAAATGGGTAATTAAAATATAAATATTATTTATTATGTTTACAAAGCTAACGAACTATTAATTATATATATGTATGTATTTCTTATGTGTATATGCGGGTACAATGTTTTTGTTGTGGTTTTTGTTATTTTTTTGTTGCTTGCAACTTTACGAGTATTAAATCCTAAGCCTAATCTTCATTCGATGGATGTTGAACCCCAGTTGATGCGTGCGCGCGCGTCCGTTTCAAGTAAACAAAAAAGTAAAACAAAAAATGCAAAAAAAAAATATACATATATTTTTACATATATTTTTTTGTATTATTGATCAGTCTGTGTTATCTCTCTCTCGCTCTGGCTGTGGCTCTCGCCCCCGTTCCCTTCCCACCAAACCGCATCCGGCTGCAGTGAGGTGGCCCATCCCCCCGTGTGTTCCCCCCGTCTCCGCCCGATTTGTTGTCCGCCCGTGGACCGATCGTTCAATGAACCGGCACCGTGATGCGGGGCGATAAACTTTTGGTTGTGGCGCGATCGCGATTCCGGCGCTGCAAAAACAGCTTGACGGACTCCAGCGGCAGCTGGAAGTGATAGTAGGCGCAATATGGCAGAGGATCCCAGTAGGCAAACAATGCCTCACGCTTGTCCAGCGCCGTGGTCGAGGTGCTGCGCTCCAGCGAGGACCAGCTCCAGTTGGTCAGCTCATCCTCGGGCAGGCCCCGCCTATGGATGCACTTCATCGCGCGGCACAGCAGCTGCGCGTGCGAGCGGTTGTGGCAGATGTAGGGCAGGGCCACGCCCAACCTCGTGCCCAGCGGCACAAACTGTCCGCCATGAGCGGGCGACTTGACCAGCCGAAAGCTGATGTGTCCATTGATGCTGCGCTGGAAGCGCACCTTGGCGAAGAAGGAGCGCAGCCAGAGCTCGATCTGGGCCTCGTCGTCGCGCCGGCAGGGCACCAGATTCTTGGTGTGGTGCTCCACCCGGCAACTGACATTGGCCACCACGCGGGAGTCCTTGACGGTGGTGCAGGTCACGTAGTGGTGATAGCCGGGCTGATCTCTGACCACCAGCCAGGGCTGCCGCTCACTTATCTCGTGCTGGCTGAACTTTAGCTCCGCCCTGCGATTGGGCAGAATGTACTTGTGCCGCTCCAGCACGCCCTGCATGCCGGCGGCCATCAGGATGTTGCGATAGCTGCCCACGAATCCGCTCTCGTAGATCTGCTGCAGCTGCCGCGGTGCCGTGAGCACCACATGGGCGGGCAGTGGCATCTGCTGCGACTCGCAGCGCTGGAACAGCTGCAGGCAGTCGTCCAGCTGTTGAGTCTCCTGCACGCTGGGCACAAAGCTGGCACAGCCGAGCACCTCCAGATGGGGCTTGGCCAGGGCATCGTAGTAGGCGGGGCTCGTGGCACACACCGGCACATACACGGCCGGACGCTCCTTCTTCACAATGTGGCACAAGGCGGCAATGTACTGGTCCGCGTTGCTGCTGGTGGGCCGTGGCACCACATAGAACTTGTCCACGGCCGTGGAGAAGCGGGCCAGGCCGAAGAGTCCCTCGAACTCAAAGACCACAACGCGTGCCCCAGAGCCGTAGAAGTTGCGGGCCAAGTGCAGGGTCTGAATGGTGCTGCCACAGCTGAGGAGTATCGTCCGTTGGCGCTGCGGCGTGGCCATGTCCTCGTCGCCGCTGAGCAGCCACTTGACCATGGCAATGGGCACCCGCAGCAGCTTCCAGAAGATCCAGAGCAGCGCCGACAGCCAGAAACTGGGCGCCGCTATGGACAGTGGGATGTAGAGTATGTAGCGGAGCAGCGTCAGCAGGCAGCGCATCAGCAGCTGGGGTCCAAAGAGCAGCATGCGAGTGCCCAGCGGACGCTCCTGGAAGGGCAACTGGGACTGGGAGTTGCTGCGCAGCAGACTGCCATCGGCGGTGCGCTGGCGACGCAGTGCCACAAAATGTTTGTGGGGTGCAGCAGCAGCGGCAGATGCACCACCATCCTCATTCTCTGATTCATCTTGACTGGGATGCTCCGGTATGAGGTCCAGGGAATTGATGCGACGAAATTTGGAGCGATTCACCTGACGCAATTGTCGGGCATGCTCCTGCCGCAAGAGCAGATCGTCCAGGGTCTGGGACATTCTCTGTGTAACACCTCACCACCACGAACTTCACGCACTTCTCGCACTTCGGAAGAAAACTCTTCTGACACTCTGACACTGACTCACGGACAGGTTGCGTGTGTAATCTTCAAGGCGTATTCAATTGTTCAATCTGTTTCGCGCTTCCCTCCTGCTGTTTACTGTGTTGCTGGCGAAATTCGAATTGTGACTAAAGCGCGTTTTAAATAGGAGCTATACTTTAAAGGCAAAAGCTAAGATGCACGGCACGGCACGGCCATCGCATCGCATCGCATCGTATTAATAATGATAACCAAATCCATCCATTCCATCCCCTGACACAACGACGGCGAGAGACACATGTCCGTCCCCCGTCGGACATTCGGCATTTGCTGTACTCGTACCTATATGCACTGGCAGAAAATGTACAAACTGAAACTCAAACTCAACTGATTGATTAGCTTTAGTTGCTCTTTATCGGCTGGTCTGATTAGTTTATTGCAGTTCCAGCGATTTCTAAATCTGTTGCTAAATACATAGTTTCAGAGCTAACTTCCATGGCAAGTAGATTGATTTATACAAAAGTCAACAACTAAACACATCAGACATCATATTTCTAATAGATTAAAAGCTTTAAAATTGTTTGATAGACTGAAGATATTTTTTGTAATGTTTAGCAGATTTTTTTTGCAGATCTCTAATGTTTTTTCTAGAGGTTTAAAGACTTATTGAAGTGTGGTTGGCATTCTGAAAAGCTAACAACTGAATTTGTCAATAATTTCTATAAGCTTCGTACCATCTGCTCAATACCACGAACTCAAACACATAAATGATCAATATTTCAAAGCAATTCGTTTATATTTAATTCGTACGCTTCATTAACGTTCCCATGAGAATAAAATATATTACTTATCATTATTTGTATGCTGACTCTTGATGACTTCTCTCAGTGTACTAATTAGCTACCACATACTCGCGCATCAGAACATACACACACACACGCACACACACGCATCAGACAATGCTCCACATGTGTGTGGATTCTGTTTTGTGCTTGTGTGGACGATGATATTTTTACCGTTGTATTCAAGCTATTGTCGCCAGCCACCGTGGGCACTGCCTGTCCCCGTCCCCTCCCCTCCTCAGATACCCACCCATCCATTTGTCTGTGATCTTTGATGTTCGCTGATGTATAAATCATCCCGTTGCCGTGGGGCTCAACATTTGTAGATTGCAAATAGAAGGTTCGCCCCAGCAGCAGCACCATCGCAGGGCGATCGATCTACCCATCGATGGAGCCTGCCCAGATGCACATCCTCAGCGAATCAGATTAGTGGCACAAACATGAACTTTGTTCCGTCTCGTCTCTCGCAATACCTACCACTTACTATATAAGCTACGAACGAGTGCTGCTGCTCAATTCCCATTTACAGTCTTTACGGCACTTGGCTTTTGCCGACTGGCCGCCGCCGCCGTCGTCGCCGACTGATAAGAGTCTGACTATGAACCCAACCAACACACTCATTAAACCAGCAACAAGGGGATGGAGGAGGAGGAGGAGCAGCAGCAATGGAGGAGCAGCAACTTATGCTTCGAAAAAATAATCTCACACCTACACATAGTATTCGAAGTCGTCGCTTAGGACTGTAGATTAAAAACCGAAAGTGAAGGCAAACAAAACACCTTAATTATAGCTTAGAAATGCATAACCAACACACAAAGTGGACTTTGAAAGTCTACTACATGTACATTTAGTGGATGTTGTTCTGAATTTCTATATCTATAAATTATATAGAATATATTCTGTATATTCTGTATATTCTGTATACCACCTGTACCATATTTGTTGGTAGTATCTCCTCAAGGTCGCCTCCTTAGGTTAAAGCCAACACACACAGCTGATAATGAGATGAATTTCAATTTTCGAATTTCGAATTTATTTTTTTCATCTTAAATATTTCTCTCAGGGTTTTTTTTTTGTATGTTTTTGGTTGCTGCTTTGTTCTTTGGGTGGATGGATTTGATTTTTGACTGTTGGTTGCCATATAGAAATAGCAGATGAGAAGATGGTGCTTCGGTGCTTCGAATCTTTGTACAGATGCATGTGTATGCAGC